GTCTTCCCATCCGTAGTTGCTCCTCTCCTGTGAGGGGCTGGCAGCCTTGTAGTGGCTCTTCTCCCAACCTGGCCTTTCCTGGCTGCTCTGACCCTTTGGGCACACCAGAGTGAGCCTGGTGAGGTGTAGGTGGGAGAGGGCGGCCATCCACTCCCAAGGCCTCTCTCCTTGCCCTGCAGTCTGGAAAACACAGCCAGGGAACAGGAAACCCAGCACCTCCTGCTGGGCAAGACCGGGCTCCATCCCTCTCTCCACATGCGGAAGGGCTGCAAACTCCTCAGCCAGGGTCCTGAGTGGCTCTGGCTCTTGGAATTCCAGCACCTGTCCTGCCCCATCCTCTGAGGCGGAGACTGAGCCCTTGTACCTCAGGAGTGTCCCCCTGGGGTGAGCACCACTTCTGGGCAACAGTGACAGACCCCCCTTGGGTTAGACAGGGAGAAGTGGTAACAACTATGGCTGCCACCCAGACACAGCACAGGGCTTCTTAAAGTGTGACCAGGGTACCCTGGGAGTTCTTTTCAAGGGACCCGTGAGAGCAGAACTACTATCCTAATAGTACAAAGACATTTGCTGTTTTTCCACACTCTAGTTCTTTTATGCACGTACAGCGGAGTGTCCCGGAGGTCACGTGACCTGTGACAAGCTCACTGCTCTGGTGACTAATGGAACACAAACTTGTGTACTCCTGGGTTTAAAAGAGTGTCGTTGCATGTACTTCCAGTATGGTAAATAGATTCAAGTCACGTGAATAAAGCTCACTGAGGTCATCAGTGACTTTTACAAATATAAACAGATTTTTTTTTAAATTAATTTATTTATTTGTGTGTGTGTGTGTGTGTGTGTGTGGGGCCAGCTCAGCCCAGCAGGGGGCGGGGCTGGCTGGCATGTGGTGCTGGGGGATCGAACCTCGGTCCATGTGTGTTGCTAAGCTTGTTCTAAGTAGGTGCTTTAGACCACTGAGCCATCTCACCAGCCCCTATAAACAGATCTTTGAACGAAAACTTCTGAGATGTGTTTATTTGAAGTGTGAGAAGCCAAGCCTGGTGGTGTGAATCATTAATTCCTTTAATAGAGGAGGCTGAGGCAGGAAGATTCCTTGAGCCTAGAAGTTTAAGACCAGCCTGAACAGCATAGCAAAACCCTATCTCAGAAACAGCAAAAAAGTCGAGCTCCTCCATGAATGTGTGTTGCCTGAGTGAGTTGAAGGCCTGCTGATGTAACGGTGACCCCAGGGGTGTGCTGTGTTCTGCTACGCAGGTGCCCACTTCAGGGCAGCAATGTGAAGGGCCACTCAGTCATTCAACAACCACTGGTGACAACCACTGACTAAAATCAGCCTCAGACCTCAGAAAACTCACCCAGTGATGAGGGATTTGAGTCTGCAGGTCGTGGAAGCAGCGGGGTCGGATGCGGGATGTGTGGTCTGCGGCAGAAGAGTGGCAGAGGCAAGGGAGGACACAGTCGGTGGGGACACTGGCAGGAGACTTGAAGGGCTGGGCTCAGGGATGCATTACAGAAAGGGGAGGTGTGGATGCTGGACCGAGGCTTCCAGTGGAAGTAGCGTCTGCCCAAATGAGGGGGCGAAAAGGGGCATCCCCAGGAGCCCCCACAGCCAGTCCTCAAAGGCCTTGTGGCCCGTTGGGTCACCAGGAGCCAGCATGTAATGAGGCTGGGGGGCGCCCCCGTGGCAGCCCAGGGGCCTGCGGGGCATCCAGCTGCTACTGACACCCGGCTCCCACCCTGCAGCCCCGCGTGGGAGCCCGGGGTGGCCCTCGGTGCTCTTCATGGTGCTGCGTTTATCTCTTTTTGATAATAATCTTTCCCTTGAAGCAGTTTCGGGAGTAAGATACAGACGTTGCAATTCTTTATCCCCAAAACACTTCAGCATGCATCATCCAAGAAGAACCACAAGTTCACCAGGAAATTTAAATAATACGGTATTTTCTAATCTGTGGTAATATATCTGAATGATTCCAGTG